CTCCACACAGCCCCCGCCCACCCCCATGGCCTTCACCACACTGTGTCCATGGGCTATGCATATGTGTTAACTAAACCTTTCATGGTAATTATTTCACCCTATATGTAAATCAGGCCTTCATGCCATATATCCTAAACTTATACAGTGTTATATATCAAGTATTTCTCAGTAAAACTAGAAAAAAATAAGAAAAAATAATTAATTGAAATGTATCCTTAAATTCTGAAAGCCAGCATGTCATAGAAAAATCTATTGTATCACTACATTTTCTGCCTTCAGCAGAAGGCAGACATTTCAACTTGACTTGTTTTCATTTATAATCCTCTTGGAATTTTGTATTGATTTCATGTATGTTGGTTCCATTCAAAATATAATGAAACACTTTGGCCATTTTGTGTAAGGGAACAAAAATGAAAAACCGTTGAGTTATGTGAATGGCATATGCCTGCTAAATTTAAATATTTTCTTTCAAGAACTATTGTCCTTCTATATGAAAGAATATTTTGATATGGCAAGATAGAAAACCTCAAACAAAATGAATGTGTTTAAGGACCAAGTCAGCAACAACAAAAAATTTTGCAGAATGATTGGAAGAAAATCCACATGCTTACATAAGATAGTTACATGTTCATACAGAAAAATACTAAAGCCCAGAATAATAACTACATCAAAATAATCTTCATATACATTTTTTTAAAGCAGAATATGATTTTTCTGGAAGATAGATGGTTTCAAGGGCTTCTATTATTCAGCAATTGAAAATAATTCAAATGTTGCATAGCTGATATTTACAGATTGATATTTAAGGAGTGATGTGTCTTGCTCTAAAGAAGGATACTTGGCTTTTAAATCTGTGTCCACATTAAGCCTCTATATCTGGCTGAAAACTTGATAATACATGATAGCCAACAACTGAAAAATCAGAAACAGGCGTCTGACATTTTCACCCAGTCGTTTGACATACTAAAGAAGAGTTTTAAAATAATTATATAGTCTAGTTCTCAATTCTCCTAGGGAAGGTAGCCTCATAAATAGTGGACTTTTGAATTCTAGTGAGTGAGCCATTCAAAAGCTGGATTTGGTAATAGTGAATGTGAAAGTTTGCCAGGAACACACCAGCAAGCACTCAGCCTGAGCCTGCGTGGCAGTTCTGAACGACAGAGTAGAAGCTGGGAGAGAGGCAGGAGGAAACGAGCTAAGCTTTGTCTCTCTAGGTTTTTAGGGCTTCACGTCTAAATCGGGTTTCAGTCCAAATGAGCTATTGACAGGAAACTGGTTATGCATTTCGCGGGAGCATGAAATGTAACCAGATAATGTTTCACAAATGCTTCATCTTTATCTACAGACAAGTGCCAAATTAATTTCATGCTCACAGTGTATGCCAACTCGAGATCTCAGGGAGGGTTTGAAAACGACTTAAGGCATCCAAATGTGCAGCAGAGTGATGAGTTATCACAGGATTTACAGGCCCACACTGATAATCATCATGAGGATTGTTTAATGAACTCCCGATCTCGTTTGGTAGTGTTTACCCTCAGTGTCCTAAACTCATCTATTAAATGATCTTCAGAATTAAGAACAAATTCAGGAATTTGCTATAAGTCCTAATAGTCCATAAGAATCATTTCTAATACCCTGATTGGAATGTTTAATATTGTCTACCCTAAGTATGTCATGCTCCATTAATAGCCAATTAAAAGTTTTTAAAACAGATCTTGCTCATATATAGTAAACTAAGTTTTAGATGTTTGAAGTGTACTTTATTTTTATTTTTATTTTTAAATACATCTTTATTGATTTCAGAAAGAGGAAAGGAGAGGGAGAGAGAGAGATAGAAACATCAGTGATGAGAGAGTCATTGATCGGCTGCCTCCTGCACGCCCCCGACTAGGGATCTAGCCTGCAGCTCAGGCATGAGCCCTGACTGGGAATCGAACCCCGATCGCCTGGATCCTAGGTCGATGCTCAACCACTGAGCCACGCCCGGCCGGGCTTGGGGTATACTTTAAATTATTTAGAAATATTTATATCGCCCATTTTTATCAATAATTGACATTGTACCTGCATGCACCTTAGCTATCATTTATAATGACAAATGTTCTAAGGTAAATAAATTACTCATCATAAGAGATTTGAAGCCACAATGAACCAAATCTACACTAAGACATAAAATCGTGCTATTGCTCTCTGATTTAAGATTTTCATTTTCCAAAGCTGCTTCAAAACTTAAGGCCACTGTTCATGAGAGTGTGACTTTGTCTGACAGATAGAAAGGCTTACCTATTGTCCTGAGGCTGAGGAAACTCTGTAGCCTACTGGGTAATAGGCAAGTGCTTTATTGTAATTACGCCCCCAGGCAGGTGCCCACAGGCTTCATTCTTTCTTATTGAGTGTTTGCAAGATAGACACATTTTCTACTAGAGACTAGAGTTTTGTCTTTTTTTGGTTTTAGGCCCCAGCCAGAGATTAAAAATGGATTGAGTTATTATACCTTTATGTATATGGTATATGTGATATATCTGACTCTTTCCTTGAAATGTTAACTAGGAGGCTCTTGAACTTGATTCTCTGACCACACAGGACTCTGCAAATACCTGCCTCCCCTCCCCAAATTCTCCCCATCACAATACCTACACGCCATCTAACCCTTAGAAGATGAGTGAGAGTCATGTTTATCTCTGCCTCTCCCATGGGTTGTTTCTTCTAGTAAAGTAGCTTCCTCCTGCTGGCCTGTCAAGTAATAGGGAGGAAATACTCGTCAGTAGATGATAACTTTCCTTGGGTCATTCAAAGCCTCTCAGGTAATATCCAGTCCAGATTTGCTAACAATAAAACAAATCCAGAAGATAAGAATACAGCTCAGATTGTCCACAATAACATATTTGTCAGTTGCTGAAATATTGCTCAGCCCTAGATGGTTTGGCTCAGTGGTTAGAGCATCGGCCCACTGACTGAAGGGCCCCGGGGTTCGATTCCGACACACCTCGGTTACA